CAGGCCCCACTGCGCTCCCAGCCAAGGGGAGGAAAAAAAAAAAGAGATGGGTTGCACCAACACCCACCGGGCTCTGGATGAGCCACCTGCAAAGTCCCTCTTGTAAAACCCCCCTCCACCTGCTGCTGCTGCAAGAAGTTTTTGTTCTCACCGCGCCGCAGCCATGCTGCAGGTTCTGGCACCCTCGTGCCTGCTGACCCCCCATCCCCAGGGGGGATTTTTCTCCTCCTGCACTGCAGGAGGGGTTCACACACGCTGAGCATCGCTCCAGCCCGCAGCGTGAGGACGGTGCTGACTAATCCCAGCTCCTCCTGCTCCCCGCTGCCAGGCGCGGCGGTGACAGATGGGTGCTGTGAGCCACGGGGGGTGGCGGGGGGGACAACCAGAGCACGAGGCTGTGGGAGCAGCGCCGGCGTTCCCAGCCCTTGGCCGGATAGATTCTGCCCCGGACAAGTGCAGGGGGTGGTGCTGCTCCCCAGGAAGGCAGGCAGCAGCTCCAGCCCCCAGCACCCGTGCTTCCTGAGGGACCTCGTCCATGGGTCACCCGCTGGGATATTCCCCCCCTCTGCCCCCCAGGCTGCAGGGGCTGCATCAGCCCTGGCTTTGGGGAATATCAGCTGCTCCATAGGCAGTGGCTTTGACAGGAGCATCCTCCCGGTGCCGGGGCAGCCAGGACCCGCAGCCCCGTGGCTCCGGTGCTCGGACTCACCTTGGCGTGGTAGGTGATAGCACTCTTGGCCACCGCGCACTGTTTCTCTACCAGGAAGCAGAACCGTCTCCTCTCTTCCGTGAGAGCTGTCTTGTAGCCATCAGAGACGTAGTTTTCCAGTTCGCCTTGCTTGTTGCTGATGGCTTCGATGTACTGGAGGGGAAAGAGGAGCAGAGAGGTGGCTGCCTGTGCTGCTCCGCCACCGAGCGCAGGGCAGGGGATCGGGAAATCAGAATTGTTCAGGTTGGAAGAGACCCTTAAGATCATGGAGTCCAACCACAACCCACCACTAACCCATGTCCCTAGGTGCCACATCTACTCGTCGTTTAAACCCCTCCAGGGACGGTGACTCCACCACATTCCTGGGCAGCCTGTTCCAGTGCTTGACAACACTTTCGGTGCAGAAATTTTTCCTAATATCCAATCTGAACCTCCCCTGGGGCAATTTGAGGATGTTTTCTCTTGTCCTACCACTTGTTACTTGGAAGAAAAGACTGACCCCCCCCTCGCTGCACCCCTCTTTCAGGCAATCGCAGAGAGCAATGGGGTCTCCCTTCACCCTCCTCTTCTCCAGGTTAAACACCCCCAGGTCCCTCACCCACTCCACATCAGACTTGTGCTCCAGACCCTTCCCCAGCTTCGCTGCCCTTCTCTGGCCACGCTCCAGCCCCTCAATGTTTTGTCATGGGGGGCCCCAAAACCAAACCCAGCATTCGAGGTGCAGCCTGGCTGGTGCTGGGTGCAGGGGATGCTGCAGCATCCTCCGGGGAGGGGTCAGCAGTGCACCCACGGGCGGGGGTGGCAGGCAGGGTTCCCGCAGGGACCCCCCCCAGCACAGGCCACGCACACGTGTGCCTGCAGCCCCCCAACCGCCCTTACT